TCCCCCACTATTTTCTGGGATGCCGCCATTCCAGGACACTCAAGGTAAGTCTTCCTGAGAACATAATGTCACACAAAGTTAGGTCGCAGACCTTTGCAAGGGCAGTAACAAGACTGTTAGCTCTTCACTGGAAGTAGTTCTTTATACAAGTTTCTGTAAATTAAGCATTGTTCCAAGATCACAAGCCTCATCCAGAGACTACCAGCAGCTCACTTGCTACTTTAGGCACAAGCTACAGTGTTCAGCCAAAATCTATGGCTATGAGAAGGTTAGCATAGAACTTCAACTTGCTAAGCCAGAAGAACGCTAGCCATCTTGGTAGCTGTATAGCATGCACATGGTCTTCAGGCATGCTTCTTTTCAACCAAGGAAAAGATCTTCCCTGCTTAATATATGCACCCTAATTTTGGGTGTCTGATTTCCAAGGGGGGAGGGAAAGGGGGAAGAGGTGCATGCCATATGTGGAAAGATATAGAAGTCTTAGATATTGGCCTCATTAGAGAACTTGACTTAAGATATGCAGGATGCTGGACTTGATCAAATGGTCCCTCTGAGCTCAACTCTATGAAATCTTGACCCAAGTGTATTCTTTTGCTCAAGAACTCTAAATTTTTAGCAGCAGTAAGTCCCATTTGGTTTAAATTATTTTAAAAGTCAACTTTAGCCTCAGTTCAGTGAGATTATGATGTCTGTTGCAAACAACCCAAGAACAAATTTTGAAAGCAAAAGGTTGAAAAAATGTAACTTCAGATATAGGTAAGCTTTGATTACTATTATAATGAACCTAAGTAAACCTTTGAAAGACAAATGAGAAGGGGCAGTTGGGAACTAAGACCTAGACATATGCTCTAAATTTTTTGGAATGCGACAGATTAGATAAACTAGAATTATTAACTTATATTGAGGCCAACTAATCTATTCTTTACTAGCAATGTTCAATTTCACCAGTAAATGAAAGGTTGACTGAAGGTTTCGAGCTATTCATGGCTTTTTGAACACCGAAAACAGAAAGTATTTTTCACAGATGTGGACTGAAGGCAATAATAATAAATATTGTGCAATACTTACCTGAGGAATCACAATGTCAGCTAATGCCTTTGAAAGCCTGTATAATTCCATTGTGTTTTCTAATTTTAAGGAACCATTATGCTGGACATCATATTTTATACAGTCATAAATATCAGGGATTTTGCTGATATCATATCTTCCATTCTTTGTTTTAAAGTCCTTTTCCAACTTGGACCACCTACGCAGCATTAGTTCTAGCGTTTCACTATGGTAAAGCTGAATATCTAGACAGATGAATATTTGTATTTTAGTGCTTAAAGTTTAAATCAGTTAAAAGCTATTTTGCTGAGTGATTAAAGTATTACGGTGATTACAACTTCAAAATTAACCTCAAAGATAAAAGCAATATTAGTTTACTCCAGGTGACAGCCGATTAGGATAACATAATTGAAAGCCTGGGAATACTCTTACAAAAGGTACCCAAACATTAATCTGAAAAAATCTAAAAAAGGGAATAAGTATGTATATGGGTAGTCCTGCTGCTACCTGCACAGCTATGCCAGCAGAATCAAGACATGCCCTCAAGAGTATCACCAGCTCGTCAGGCAGACTTACAGTGGTTAGAACAGGAGAATTCACTAAATTGCAGACCATGACAAATCAAGAATTGCTCAGGGACTTAGTTTAAAATTAGATGCATTTTTTTTCCTGAAGACAAGTAGGAGTCATGCCCCATTTCTCTCTCACTCCTGTAACAATCCAAGACCAGAAGCTAGAGATAGAGGGAGCCAGGTTGCCGCCAAGAAAAGGAATGTATACTCCCTGGGGCACGGCAAGAATTTGGAAGAAAACAGACACAGGAAAACATCAATATTAAACTATCAATTCAAGTCCTACAGAACTGTAGCCATTAAATGCTGTTTTAATGGTTTACAACGTATAGAGGACAATTTGTACACCATGGGCAGGTCTACACGTGTGCATTTACTGTGCAGTAACCGAAATTACTGCACAGTACAGGTGCACATCTACACATGCATGCCCGTCCTGCACAGTAAATATGGCAACTTATGCTGACTTGAGTGGAAATTTGATACCCGCATCATGAAGATATCAAAATGTACACCCGATTAGTTACTGCGCAGTAATGCATATGTAGACACCTTATAGCACAGTAACACTGTGCATGTGTGGACTGATTTGGGAACAAAGTCAGTCCACACACACACAACGTTAATATGCTTTAGCACCTGCACGTATAGATGCTGACCTACTTCCACTTACTGCGCAATAAATTTAAGCCAGCGTAAATGCATGTGTAGACATGCCCAGTGAGATCTTTCACTGCTTTTGAACAAACAAAAATCTTCAGTGAAGAGACTAATATTCAAAGTCAGTCTTCACTCATATTTATAGCAGTCTATTTTTCCTGCCCTTCTCTGATCTCAGATCTACAGGCATTCCAGTCCTTGCATTATTCTTAAAATATCTGAGTAGTCAACTGCTTTAGTTTCTAGTATAAAAACCAGATGATATAACTGTTAACTGTAACGTCACCACAGATGGTTGGGTTTTTTTTAATTAAACTTGTTGCTAATTTTAACCAGTAAAATCTCTATGCTAAAACTGTACACTCAAGATCAATTTATATGAACTCCCAAAATATCATTTATGAAATGATTTAGATTAGATATGAGCAGATTTAGATTAGACATTAAGAAAAATTTCTTTTAGTGAGGTTTGCCAAAGTCTGGAATGGGCTTCCAAGGGAAGTGGTGCTCTCCCTTATCCTCGAGATCTTTAAGAGAAGACTAGACAAGCACCTAGCTGGGGTCATCTGACCCCAGCGCTCTTTCCTGCCCAGGGCATGACGTTGGACTCAATGATTTACTAAGGTCCCTTCCGACCCTAAAAATCTATGAAATATGAAGAGCAAGCCTAATAAAGAAAGGTTGCACGTCTTATGCCTGTGCAAAGTTAGTAATCTAAAATGGATGAAGTAAAATCTAAAAATATTTTTGTTACCTGCAGACTTGGGATCTTCCATTCGCTGCCTGATTTGAGAGGTCAAGCTTTGGATCAAGGAATATACTTTGTCACATGTCTTCACAGGATTTTTTATCACTTGCATTGATTTTATTAGAGAGATGCTTCCAGATGGATTAAGCTGCAATTTGACATAAAAACATAGTATTTTATTATCATTTTTGTCCATTAGGAGACTATTAATCAGGGATATATCCTCTGACATCACTAAATCAATTACAGTTTATGTCAGAGAAGATATGACAATGGATGGATCACTTTAGGCATGGCCTGTTCATATACTCTCCCACTGAAGTAGTAGTGCCCAGCCTTCTTGCCCTGCAGGCTGGATGAGTGGTATGAATTCAGCCTGCAGGCCTGATCAAGCTGCCCTCTCACCCTGATCCAGCCACACTATCTGATCTGCAGGACTCCTCATGTGTCTGGATACCTGGCAGTAGGGGAGAGGCAATTAACGCTGCCATCACTCCCCTGCTGCCAAACTTCCAGACACTTGAGGTGTCCAGCCAGCTGAATGATGCAGTTCCATGGGCCAGATCTGACCCACAGACCAAGGGTTGAACACCCATATTCTAAAGCATCTATTTTTGCCTTTGTCAAAACAGGACACTAGGTTGGAGGACAATCACCTTGTTTTACTTTGTAGCAAGCCTATGTAATCTACATTCTATTACACTATTTTAGGGCTGGTATGGAGAATGAAATTTTTTCTAGGACAATAAAGTACATATTCTGATTAGCTCAAATTTATAAGTATTCCATGTTTCCTACAACCTCTTTATTAAAATGTTACAGAAGTGTACAAGGGAGTCCACCCCCCTATTCCCAACCCCACCCTGAGATGAAGACCTATTATCTTCATCCAAGTATTAGAATACAGACTGCTCACTTATTTTGTTTAACAGAATGCTATTCATGTAATATATTCTAACCTTTTCATAGTCTTCAGGAGTAAATTCTCTGTCTCGCTGGAGTATTTCATGGAGCCTTGCCTTAACACGATGTTGGCAGCTACTTAAAGAATCACTGTCACTGTCCAATAGACCATTCATATTAGCACTTTTTACCATTTGGACAAGAATAGGAGTCAGTTCTCCCTCCAAAGCTAGTAGTCCCTGGAGAAAACATGACAGTAAACAATCATCAAAAAGGATGCCCTAAAATGTTGACCCAATATGTTAGTGTAAACTAGAGATTGTTCAAATAACTTGCCAATATCTGAAATACTACCCTCAAACCTTATTCATTCCATGAAGCCTGTACGTAACTTTATTTTGTTCCCTTTCCTACATTAGGCTTCCTGGCAGAGATTAGAAGCATAGGGGGAGAAACAAATTTATTTAGTATAAAGATGGCTGAAGGATTGTGAAATTATTTCACAGACATTAGGACTGGAAGGGACTTCATGAGAACATTGGGTCAAGCCCCCTGCCCAAAGGGCAGGAAGTCAGCTGGGGTCAGATGATCCCAGCAAGATAACCATCCAAACATGTCCAGAGTAGATGCTTGTACCACTTCTGGAGGGAGTCTATTCTAGACTCTGGAGACTCAGACAGTAAAGAAGTTTTTCCTTATGTCCAGTCTACTTATGTCTTACTGAGAGGTGACTTATTGAGAAGGGTGAAATGCTTTGCAGTGACTGCAAAATAGAAGGATGCACTAATGATATCCACACCATTCCTCTTCTGATGTTTGGATAGTTTCTAACATAAGGGATGAGAACTTGCTCCTTCCATGAGTCATAAGTTCACCCTAAACACACGTAACTTTTTATTTAGTGTATTGAAGCCATATATTATCCCCAATCTCCTAATGAACATAAATAAGGGTTTTACCAAGAGCTTCATGTTGAAAAGTTTCCCACAGTACCTTTGCAAAAGCTGCTGCAGTCATCTGAACTCGTCCCTCATCAGAAGCATATATTTTGAGATCATGTCGATACGTACTATGTAATCTAAGTAAACCACATCCAGGAAATCCAGCATAATCTCCTACCAAAAAAACATTCTTCTTAGGCTCTCATTCTGTACTTGTTCATTTTTGGAAGGGTCTAATTTATGACATACAGGGCAGGAAAATTACCTTGTCCACCGGGGTACATGCACCTGAAAGCTCTTCCAAGCTCCTCGGCTTGAACCCTGCCTGCAGGGGTCAATTCTCCTCCCCATTTTAGAACTAGTAGTAAGGAAGGCTCATTTCTTTTGCTATCTAATCAAATGCAGAAAGAGAAGTTAGAAGCAACAGGCCAACAAATCCAAACATCTATTTAAGGGCAAAAGAAGTATTCAGTCCTGTGCATCTCATTTAAGAGTTATTCTATCTCTAGAGTTATACTTAAAAAAAAAAAAAAAAAAAAAAAAAAAAAAAAAAAAATCAAGCATAATCCAACCAAACATTGAAACAAAGCATAACTCGGACATTTTAAGAAAGCAACAAAACTTGTATTACAGAGAAAACAAACAGGTAAGAAACCTCATATATTTAAATATATCAAGAATCAGCAAGTTGATGTTTTGTGCACTAACTACTTGTAAATATCCATGAACAAAATTTTAAGGGTTTTAGAAACTCATGAAAGAAACAGGTGGTGGTAGTACATGGAAAAATGTAAGTTTTCTACAAGATACTTCTGATGTATAGTTTATAACATTTTTTCCCTATATATTTTCTGCTACTCAAGAAACCATGTTAAAATGCAAATTACATCTATAATTATAGAAACTCAGCAACTTGAGATCACTACTCATAGTATCACAACAAAAACACTGATGTAAGGCAATATGGTACTTATTTGCCCACAACACAAATGTTAATTTACATACAGTATTCATTCTGTTTTGCTAACCACCATGTACTCTAGAGTTAATATATAAGCATACTATATACTATTTTAAGTGATAATGTGTCAATGATATCGTACCTTCTTCTTCACTTGAAGTTTTTGGGCAACCATGAGGGAGATACGTTAACTGGACTTTGCGATTTATGCCAGAAAAATGTCCATACCTAAAGTGGAAGAAAAAAGCATGCTAAGATTCACAAAGACTGTCAAATGCATACTCCATTTTACCACACTTCTCTATCACTTTGACATACACTAAACCCAAGAATCTGTCCTGTCTGTTTTGTTTAACCTGTTCTCGTAGACAAGATTCAATAAAAAGTTTTAAATGGCCATCATTTAATTATACATTACACCTTCTCACTGCACTGCCCAAAAAATTAATTGTGGAGTTCTGACCTAGAACAGGAAGACCCCTATACTTCTTGCTGATGCTTAATTTATTCTATCCACCCTTTACTGTTTTTTTAAATATCAGTTTCAGCAGTAAATGGCAAAGTGAAACTACCATAAGTTAAAGACATAAGATATTAAGATTTTCTCCATGTTATGATGAATTTTCACATTAGATGAGAGTTACCAAGAACAAGATCTTTTATTTATTATACTCTATACAATTTGCTACATATAAACAGAACACAACAAAAATTCTATTTACTGTATTACAGAAGTGTCTCTGGGCTCCACCTGTATCTAGCACAACAGTATTCTAATCACTACATAAGAAGAGACAGTCTTTGCTTCAAAAAGCTTACTCTCCAACTGGACATGACTAATAAATCTTTAGAACAAAGAAGTCTCCTCCTTATAAGCAGAGAAATGAAAGATAGCACAGATTAAGTACCACAAATCATCCACAAAACTAGAGTAGAGAGAGGAATTAACCCAGCTCTCCTCAGTACCATCCAATTTCTTAAATCACAAGATTATCCTTTTACTCAATACATTTAAAAACTAAGTGCATGATGGGCTTAATCTTTTTTAACATTATAATCTAAAGATTATTCACATTTTGATAATGAAAGAGATCAAAACAATCATTTCAGTACTGATGTGAGGCTAAAAGATGCACTTACATCTCCAACACAGTTTTCAGCTGTTCTAGTTTTGCTTTGCTTTCTTCAATTTCAGAGTCATTGTTTTGTCCAAGTTCTACTAGAAGCTGTCTTGCTATATCAAGCACTTCCTAACAGAGAAAGCAAAACAAAACAAAAAAGTATATGAACAAATTCTTATATTTATCTGACTGTTGAAGAACTAACACTAACAACAACAACAACAACAAACTTGCCTGCAACTGTTTTGGTTTTTTCAGTTTTAATTTTCCAGACTTATATCCATCACATTTTTCAAAGAGATCAAAAAACCTTTAGGAGAAAGCATAACCAATTTAAAACACATCAAATATAATGCTAGATATTAATATACTTTATGGCAATAAACAGATTATCACGTTTAAAAAAAAAAAAGGGAAGTGAGGCTGGAACTAAATCCCTAAATCAGAAAGCGTCTGAACTATGGAGAAAGTTTGTGCAGATGCTAGTGTCACAGGTCTGTCTCTGCTCACTTTAGTCTCATGCCATTAGCCAATGCCTTAAAGTTTTCCTGCTACCTAGCTAAGACTGGAAAAAAGTACTAAACTAAACAAAAGGATATGAAGAATCCTCAGAAATGACTGTATCTATTCTCAATTTTCAAACAAACAAGAAACAAAAGAACACTGAACAGAAAGCCAAAAGTTACTAACTATACAATATTAATCATACAGCTCTAAATAATTAAGGCATATATGCTCTTTATGATGTGAGGACATAATCCGGTCCTAAAACAATAATAATAATTGCAGTGATACCTACTGATGGATCAGGGTCCCATTGTACAGACACATTACAAAAAAGATGGAGAGTACGCATTTATGGGGTCAACAAACTAAGTAACCTAGAGACAAAAAGGACAAAAATTGGCAGAGGACGGGAACATCTCTCATGAAGGGCTTTACATGCAAAGACTAACAGTTTGTGAAAGTAATACAGGGAAAACGAAAGAAAGGGTAGTAACAGAGAGGCAAAGAGGAGACATGGTCAAAGTAGTGAAAAGGGAATATTATCTTTGCCTCAACATTTTGAACAAGATAAAAAATGCATCTATCAAGGCAGGAGTGAAGGTGGTTACATTAGCAGGAAACACAAGTTGAAGGAGGCCTTGAAAGAAAGATTTAACTATGTAGGCAAGGGAAGGGACATATCATAGAGGGTAGAGTCAAGATTTAAACAAAAGCTTGTACCTAGCACATGCACAATCACCACTAAATTAGTTCAACTGAACATGCACATGTACACTAACTACCAAATTTCCTTTACCAAAATGAGACTTACTTCTGATGTTTAACTTCCATTTTCATTTTTTGTTTTGGTGTTCGGTCCCCGTGACGTATTACAGCTATAACACATCTAAGCTCCATCCTGAAAAGAAACAAGTTACATTTCATAGGTCCGTGCAGCTGCAGGGCTTCTAATATTATTAAAATGTGCGGTTCAGTTAAAATTATATATCACATGTTATTGAAATGACTGTAAGAACATAAAAGCTACCTGAAAATGATGTAAAGTGATACAGTAAACTATAAGCAAGTTTTAGGACTCTGCTAACTAGAGAGTATCTACAGCAAGCAGTTTTGCCAAAAAAGTTGATTTTGAGGTTTATTTAGTCAACAAGTATGTTTGTTTGAGGTGTGTTAAGCAGGTACTAGATAACATTTAGTAATGAAAGAAGCCATGTGTAGAAGAAACTACACTTTAAAAACCTGCTGTTCTATACTCAGCTTTACTATGGGTCAGAAACTTCAATAGCTGGATTACCAACTGCAATTCATTTCTTGGTTTCATCACTCAAAATAAGTTTTCAAAGTCAACTGGACATACCTTGTGAAGAGAAAAAAAAATCACAGAAAAGTTATATAGGATTTTTACACAATTCAGGAAGAGTTAGTTTTCTCTTACATTGTTCCAGATGTAGTTGGCACAATAGGGATATCTTCTGCTTCTAAAGGTATTGACCATGGGATTTGAAATTGGGGAGCAAGTTCTCTCATTATGATATTTCTAAAGGAGAAACAAAGAAAACTACATTGTAGTGTTGCGATACTTCAGGCTCAAACAGCACTTATTAGTTCCTTAAAAAATAAATAATTTCCAATCGACTGCTGATCAGACAAACACTGAGCACTGATGGGTTTCTATAGGTATTTTATTCATTTTTCAAATGTTTAAACACTTATTCCATCGAAGACTTGGATACTTGAATATACAATCTACAAAGACAATTTAGCACTATCTGAATTAGTCAATGACCTGATGAAACATGTATTCTTGGTATGCAGATATGATGAAAGAGTCTAAGTAGGCTGAATTCTAGCCTGCAGTTCTGGTGGGAAACACTTGGAGGGGAGGTGGGGAGCATATATTGATGCAAATATTTGCTGTAAATATTTTTGTAAGTAGTACACCTACATGCCCTTTTCAACCCAGGGGTGATGGCAGTCTAGAAGGCTGCAGAGACTGCCCTCTGATTGGTTCCCCATGACATTATGTTTAGTTTTTATGGGTGGCTGTTAGTTCCTGTGCCGAATTCTTTTTGTCACAGGTTTTGTTAGAAGTTTGGCTGGCTGGCCTGAGAGAAAGAAAGAAAAAAGAAAGAGGGATTTGTCCCAGTCACCACATGGCCAGGAAGACAGCTGCCTCTGCAGCCAATACAGTTCTCCATGCCTGGCAGAAGTCAGGACTGCCTCCCACCCTGCCCCATGCCCTCTGCCAGCCCTTAGAGCTCCCTCCGGTTGCTGCAGGGGGGCAGAGAAGGGCAGGAGCAGCCCTGGACTGGGCTGCTCCTGTCAGATGCAATTTGCTCCCGATGGGGGCACACATGTAGCCATGCGCCTGGCAGCACATTAATAAGCCTAAATTTTCTGCTCAGAAAATTCAGGTACATTAATTGTATATGTAGATGCGCCCACTGTGTATCATAGAAAAGGAGATTCTAAGCTGGTTCACAACATTTCTGAATGATTAAAAAACATGTTAAATTTGTCTAATAACAAGGGAAAATGGCAAGAACAAAAAAGAGACAACGTAGTTAAATGCTCTTCCTATTAAAATAGAAAAAGTTTAAAAAAAAAAAGAGACTTAGGGTATCATTGGACAGCGCATTAGAAATGTTGGAAGTTGGTCACCCAGCTTCAAGAAGGTATCAAGTAGATAATGCAAAGATTACAATACAAGGATCAACCCCTCAATTTTTATGTAGATCTTCATAGTTAAACCTTCACAAAGGCTGGCTAGTGAAAATGCAATGGTATTCATGACATGCACAACAATAGGGGATTCAGGCTCAAAAGTAAGTTATTAGACTGTTAAAAGGCTAGAGCAGGACTGTTCATCACGTAAGTGACTGGGGACCACACACTCCATAACCAACCCCAGGACTCCCCCTCCTCACTGTGGGGCTCCCAAAATTGTTTGCCAATTATGTAATTCAGCTATAACAATTTTTTAGCATATGGAAAAATTTTAATTGAAAGCTCTTAACAGTGTAGTTCATACCTAGTTTAACTCGTCTGCAAAACTGAGGAGAAGTACACATGGATCTTCAGAATTTTTTCCACTAACTTTAATGAATAAATGATTTACAGCAAATTATCCTAAAGTTGATGCTACTACCTAGGATTTCAGTTGAATCAGGAACTGTTTCTCTCACTTCAGGACTGGTGCCAGATCACTCAGCAGTGAGCTTTTTGCACTGTATCAACCATGTAATCTGGCTGTAAAACCAGCTTAACTAGCCAACAGAAGATCAATCTAGTTTAAGAAAGATGCTTCACTGACATACAGTCAGATTTCTCTCTCTCTATAATCTCTTATTATCCTTCTCTGCTACCAGGATAGCAGATAAAAGGAGCATAGGCAGGAGGATTCAGTTCCAGTCCTGGGCTAGATTCTCAGCCCTTTGGGGCCACCTGAGACTTTAAAAGTCAAAAACATAGCTAGATATTTTCTGAAAGCTGCTTCAACACAAAAATAAAAACAATAATATAAAATAAATAAGCATACGGTTTTTACCAGGACATTTTTATCAAACAGCTTTATAAGCATATACATAAAATGTTAGAGCAATGTACCATGCAATTTCATTTTTTCTCCAAAGAAGTTACGCATGGAAGCATATTGGTAACGACTGGATAGTGATATTGCCAACAAACAAAATATTTTATTGCATTATTCCATGCAGGAGAAGATATTTGAAGAACAACCTTGCCTTCACAAATCAAGCAATATTTCTCTCAATTGCTGAATGTCAAGTACTTTTTTTTCCTTAAATCTTTCCCAGTATAGCTGATTACCAAACATTTTTGGTGCAGGTTTGTGCACTATTCATGCATAAAATATTAACTATTTTATATTGCACAATTGAATATTTACCCTGTATTTTAAATAAGGGGCAGTTTAATTTGTACTTTTAAATTTAACTTGTAGTTTGCAAAAGTAAAAAACATAATCATAAGTTAGCAGTGTTATTCAATATTTAGAAAAAAAAAACAAGTGAGGGGCAGAAAATGAGCAACTAAGCCATTCCCAAGACAGAATAAACAGATATTGTTAAATCAAACTTTCAAAGCTAGGCTTACCTACACCTGTACATATATAAATTTACAGACACATGCCCGATATATGTAAATGCCAGATGCCTTGTCTGTCATGAGTGCACACACACTTAATATGCAGACATATTACAGAAAATAGGCACATGTGCTCAGTTGTGCTTGTCTGCATAAAAAATTCTGGTCTAGTCATAAGAACAAAATGCCCCTTTTAATATAGTTATTCTATTTATTTCAATGTATTTATTCACACAATGCTTGTACCAGAGTCAGTGCATTTATTTCAAGGAGACTTGGGGAGGAAAAGGAAGTGGGGAAAAGGAAATGTAATTATAATTTAACATAATGTCCAAAATAATTAACTCTTACCCAAGTATCTTAGCACAATCATCATAATATTTCATGGAGTTCTTTACAAAACTGAAGCCATTCACGTCACAGACATAGGATTGTCCATTAGCACGCAACAAATCAAAGCCACAAACTGTTTGCTGTTAAGAATAAACAGTTAAAAGTACAGATTATTTCCATTTCAGTTAATGGGCATATGTCCAGGCTCTGATCTGCATGTCTTAAAACGTTGTTTTAGTATTGCTCTGATCTGAAAACATGAAGCAAACAATAGTCTTTGTGCCTACTGTCTGTCTTCCAGTGACTTCTTATTAAATTAGCTTGATTTATACATACAATGCTTTCTTATTAGCTTGACGTGCAAGGATGGGCTCCTATTTCCTTACATATTCCTAGCTAAAGGAATTCTTCAAGCCAAATACTGCCTTTAGTTGAAACCCAGATTTAACTGGAAGAATTACTTTATGTTAGTGCTGAAAGGCAAGAAAAGAACTCTCCCTGCCTTTCTGAAAAGCTAAAAGTTATAAATAAATATATATATATTTTCTAAATTTAATATATTTAATAAATACTATTACATGTGATATTCCAAAATAATACCTTGAAAATGACTGTTAAAGTAGCATACCCATATATATTTTTATCATCTAGCATTTAGTAATGACCCCACCAGACCAGGCGCTATACAAATGCAGAACCAAAAGTAGAACTGTTTTAAGAGTCCAAATTAGAACAAGATTGTTACACCAGATTATACATTTAGAGTCCTTTGAGAAAGAAGAGAAGGAGTTCTGATGATACGCTAAGTGAAAATTAACCAATGTACATTGAGACCACATAGATACTATATTTACCTGAATATAAGATGAGTCCTCCCCCTTGCCCCCTCAGTCAGATTTGGAAAAAAAGCCCCTTATCTTATATGTGCATGCAAAGCAGAGGGGAGAGCAGGCAGCTGCTACAGCTCTGACTGGCCCAGAGCTGAGGTTGGAGTTAGAGTTAGACCTGTGGCAGCCTCCTGCCCACTCCCTTCCCTCCCCCTTACTGTCAGGGACAGCTTGCCTCTGGCTCGGGCTGGAGTCTCTCCCGGGCACAGGCATGGAGCACATGGCAGGTTCTTCTGGCCAGCCAATCAGGTGCACCACCAACACTACTGCACTACCTTCCCAAGCTTCCACTGCTGTGCTCCAGGACCGGGTCAGAGCAGCTGGAGCAGTGTCTGACCGGTGGGGGACGCTGTCAGAGGCTGTGGGGAGATGGGGATGTGCAGGTGGCAGCAGGGGCAGGAAGGCTGCAAGGGGAAGAAGTGGGAGAGGCAAGGGGGCCACCTGACACCCCCCGCCACTGCTTTCCCTGCTGTGGCTGGGGGGGCGGGGGGGAGGAGAGAAGAGGGAGTGGAATTCAAGACAACCTTTCAACACTTGGCTTCTATACCTGGAAAATTATAACAAATGTATAAATTTTCCATATGTAGAATCTAATTAATGGGGGGCTGTCTTAGAGTAGATATGGCAGTGGTCACCAACCAGTGAATCTCGATCCATCAGTAGATCTGGGAGCCCCTTGGAGTCGTTCCGAGGCTGGGGTGGGGAACTGAGTGCCTGCACACACATGCCCAGCAGATAAATCCGTGGGAGGGAAGAGGCGGGAGCTAGATCAAGGCCCCTGCAGTGAGGGACAGTGCCGCAGAGGCAGGAGCAAGGGTATGTTGTGTGGGGCCCCGGCTGGATGGGACTTACCTGCTGGGAAGGCGCATCCCCAAATAATTTTTCTCCCTCTACCTTGATCTGTCCCCCCTTCCCTCCCCACAGACTTACCTGCTGGGCGAGGTGGGGAGGGGGGGAAAGGCAGTGCACAGTAGATCTTAGGTTGCTTTCAAATGCCAAAGGTGATCTCCTACTTAAAAAGGGTGGAGACCACTGAAGTACGGTATATACCCGTGGATGCATACAGACAATATAGATTGAAATGGCTGCCAATGAGGACATTTAACTGCTTTCCTAGATTATTTCATAGAAAATGTTTTATTTGGGACTCTTGGCACTGCCACTCTGAAGACAGCTTATCACTTTTCCTCAGTGTTTGTTTTGGTTCAAACTTAAACATAAACATATGACTAACTGCAGCTATGCTTGCTATTAAGTATAAACCCCATGCAAATATATTTGCTTAATTAAAAAAAAAAGAACAGCCTTTACAAATTACTCTGCGCACAAATGCATACATGCTCATACATGTGTAAACAAAACAAACCATATATTTTATGTGTGCTTTCTGCATTTAGAGGTCTCAGTTCATTCACAACAAGGATAAGAATATCAATGAACTAAAGTATTTGAAACGAGAAGTCATCCAATTAAATAAAACATGAAAGTTCAGGTAAACTTATTGCTATATCCCCAAAGTTCTGCAACGATAAGATCTCTGCTTCTGAGCACTGAATTCCTGCAAAAGTTTCACCTAGTAAACAGTTCATTAGTATTAAACGTTTGATCAGATAGCCTAGATCCATTTACCTTAAATGCAAGGCATACTTTCCAGGCTATCAACTTCTCTCTTGCATTCAGAATGACTGGATATCTCACTTCTTTTCCTTCACTGTCTCGTTCTACTTTACCATCTAGAGCAGGGGATTTTCGAGCTTCAGCATGTGCATAATCTGGACCTACTGTGTACACCTTTATTTCAAAGGAGAAGAAAAGTTAATGTAGTTAAAGTGATTCATATGTGTTCAAGAACCTTGCTAAGTTTTCCTGAACTTGCAGCACTTCTGCAAATTAAATGGTAGTGTCCTTCACCATTGATGAGGCAGCCCTTAGGCACCCTTTTTACTGTATATCTTCATAGTTTACCATCTTTTGTGGCAAATTGGACATGCATGAAACAAGATGGAAGTTGGCCACAGTACCACAGATAGAAACATCTTGCAGAGGCTACTCAGTTGCAGAATAAAGATGATTAAAACACTTAAACTAGGGTAGTGCAGAAACAAAGAAGAAATTATTGTTCTTCACCAGTGCATCTGCAACATTTCATAGAGAAGATTTATTTCAATCCAGTAAACTGCAATTTTCTCCTCTTGGTAGTTGGACTAAGTACTTTCTCTTGGGAAGAAACCGCTTGATATATGTGACCAGATTTTCTGTATGAGCTGTTTGCTTGCATGGGTAAAAAGGAAGGTCCTGAGAGCATATGATTTCAACCAGTAAAGCTCAATGAAGGTGGTGTTGAGAGATCTTTACCCTGCAGCCTGTGCTTCAGACCCACAAACTTTAAAAAATAGCATTTTTGTGGCCTTTGATCAAAAAATTATTACCTGACATTATCAGTCTATCCCTATTACTGACCAACATCACATTTTCTCCTCTTGATGGTTGTAGAAAGAATTCCCCTGGTATCTAGGAGGTCTGATCTCTTTGGCCTCTGTCAAATTGGGTATAGATTTGGCTTTGGCACAAAGACAGAACTGATTGAAAAACCTCTTCCTGGATGAAAACTAGGGGCCGCATGCTGGTGTTTCTACTATTAACTGCCTTCAATATCACTGACCATAAAGAGTTATTGAGTCACTTAAGGACTCTCATATTGATAGACAGATCTCAGCGTGTCATTGCAGGGAACTTCCCTTTCTCCTGAAGAGCTCTGATGTGTATAACTCTGCATGTAACTACTCTGTCACCCCACCTATTTAAATATATACATGTCACTGTTACAATGCTGTAATCCCCAATTACACGTCTCAATTTTTCTGATGCACGTCAGTGTCTCACCTCACTGTGTACCTAAGAATAAGGCATGGATGAGAGCAAACAAGTTGAAGTGAGCTCAACACAGAGAAGACTATGATGATGGCAAGTTAAAGAAGCAGCTGAAAGATGCTACAGGCATGATCAGTCCCTCTGACTGAAGGAGCAAGTGCCATTAGTTACTGTGGGTGGGTGATTTTATATACTTAACTGCAGTTTCAGACCCGCAGTACAACAGTAAGCTAGGCTTGGAAGGCTGTGACCTTTCCTTTCAGAAGCAGATCCTGTCACTGTTTTGCCACCTCAAAATCAGATTATTTAATATGGTGTACAGGGGGCTATATGCTAAAGTTATATAAAGACTAAAGTTGGTGCAGAACATAGTGGCTCACTTCCTGAGCAATGTAAACTGGTAATGTATAACATCACTATTGTGGGATCTGAAGTGACAGCCCTTTTTAATAGGTTCAGAGATTGTAAGGCTGGAAGGGACCTTGAAAGATCATCGGATCCAGCCCTCTGCACCAAGCAGAAAAGATAACTGAGGGTTATCTGACTCCACTAAGGTGACTGTCTAGTCTCCTCTTGAAGATTTCCAGGGTAGGTGATTGCACCATCTCTGGAAGGAGCTTATTCCACAGTCTGGACACCCTGACTATGAAGAAGTTTTTCCAAATGTTGAGCCTGAATTGATCTTCCAGGAGTTTGCGGCCATTACGCCTAATTTTCCCCTTGAGTGCCCTATTGAACAGCTGCTCCCCGAGCCCTTGATGTACTCGCCTAGTGTAGCAGTAAGCTGCTACCAGGTCCCCTCTCAGCCTTCTTTTCCTCAGGCTAGAGAGTCCCAGATCCCTCAGCTTTTCCTCACATGGCTTGCCTTTTAAGACTCTGATCATATAGGTGGATCTTCTTTGGACTCTCTCAAGCTTGTCCATGTCCTTGTTGACATGTGGTGCCCAGAAATGGACGCAGTACTCCAGCTGTGGTCTCACTAGCGGTGAGTAGAGCAGAAGAATCAGCTCCTTGGCTTTGCTGGAGATGCATCTATTGATGCATGCCAGAGTATTACTTGCCCTACTGGCTACAGCATCACACTGCTGGCTCACACTCATACTGTTGTCTATTATTACCCTCAGATCCCTTTCATTCGTGGTGCTAGTCAGTTTGGTTCCACCAAGCCTGTAGGTGTGTTGGGGGTTGCTTGTCCCGAGGTGGAGCACTTCACATTTCTTGACATTGAACTTCATCATGTTCCGATCTGCCCAACTTCCTAGCCTGTCTAGGTCCACCTCTATCTGTAGCTTATCTTCAAGCATCATCACACTTCCCCAAAACTTGGTGTCATCCATGAACTTGGCCAGTGAGCTCTTCAACCGCACATCCAAATCGTTAATAAGGATGTTGAAAAGTACTGGACCGAGCACCGACCCCTGCAGGACACTGCTGCCCAGTTCTTGCCAGGATGACACAGATCCGTTCACTACGACTCTCTGGGTCCTATCCTGCAGTCAGTTTCTCACCCACCTAACTGTCTCAGAGTTAAGCCCACAATCCTCCAATTTTCTCGCAAGGACATCATGGGATACTAGATCAAAGGCCTTTTGGAAGTCTAGGTATACAATGTCAACCTGCTTTTTTGTGTCCAGGCGGCGAGTTACCTGGCCATAGGAGGAGATGAGGCTGGTAAGGCAAGACCTGCCTGCGATGAAGCCTTGTTGGCTGTCATTCAGAATTTTACCTTCTGAATGACAGCCAGCAAACTTATCACAGATAGACTCCTTGATGAACTTTTCTAGGGTTTTCCCTAGGATGGAAGTTAGGTTGACTGGCTTATAGTTACCCGGGTCCTCCCTCCTGCTCTTCTTGTGAATGGGCATAACATTAGCCCTCTTCCAGTCCTCAGGGATTTCTCCAAAGCGCCATGAGTTGTAGAAGAGTTTTGCCAGGGGTTCCACAACGACTTCGGCCAGCACTCTCGGATGAAGATCATCCAGTCTTGCTGACTTGTATACGTCTAATTTTATTAATTGGTCGTATACCAATTCTACGGCAACAGCAGGAAGGCAATTATTCCTACCGTGCTCATCCTCTACTCTACCCGGAGTGGTTTTCCCCTTGGTCTGGTGAAAGACGGGAGGCGAAGTAGTCATTCAGGAGTTCAGCTTTCTCCTGGGTGCCGGTAACCAGCTCTCCTGAGTTGCTGAGCAATGGCCCCACACTTCTATTTGTTTTCCTCCTGTTCCCTAGGTATCTGAAGAAGGATTTCTTGTTGTCCTCGATTCCCGTTGCTAATCTAAGTTTGGCCGCCACTTTAGCCTTCCTTATCTGTTCCCTGCAAATGCAGGCCGTCATGGAACAGTCCTCCTTGGTACCTGCCCTGAGCTTCCATTGTTTATAAGCCTCTTTCTTCTTTCTTAAGAGGACTGTGATTTCCCTGTTTAGCCAAGAGGGCTTCCCAGTCCTTCTGTTACCTTTTCTCTGCATGGGAATGGACCTCCTCTGTGCTTCAAGGATCGTGTCCTTACGGGACAACCACTCTTTGTGCACACCTTTCACCTTAGGTCCCTGGTCCCACAGCACATGCCCTACTAGTGACCTAAGCTTGTTGAAATTTGCATTTTTGAAGTCTAAGACTTCAATCTTTCTATCCCGTTTGTCTGCCTTACATCAGACAGTGAACATGATGGTTTCATGGTTGCTGTTGTCCAGACTTCCCTCTATATTTAAGTCGGTCACCAAATCATCTCCTTTGACCAGGACCAAGTCTACCAGACCAACCTCTGGTTGGTCCGTGCACTTCCTGAGTCAGAAAGAGCTCGTTGATACAGGTCAGGAAGGATCGCGACCATTCCAACTTGGCCAAGTATTCCTCCCAGGAAATGTATGGATAATTAAAATTGCCCAAGAGTAATAGCCCTTTGGGTTCTAACTGAAATTTTAAGATGTTGATTATGACCTATAAAATCCTACTTGCTCTGAGACTGAGGACTCTCGGGACTTCTTCTACACCGGTAAGAAAAAGACAAAAATCTGGTGACATTCCAAGCATATTGCAAGACATTTGTTTGGTAGTATTTGGAGAAGACTGAGAAAATACCTTCTGCACAACAAAGAAGGAAAAAGGGGTTTTTTTTTGGTTCCTGGCTGAATTCCTGTAAAAATAATTACTTTATTTTTGCTGGGATTTTATGGTATTACTGGAGGAGGTCATGGTGCCTAGTCCATGGATACTTTAAATTTAAATCAAGAAAAAAAAAAATAGATGAAGCAAATAAACAACCCCAAAACTGCAATGGAAAACTCATAAGACACACTTTGTATTTATTTTCTCCAAAGCAGTACAATATTATTGCTTACTAGTACTAGTATACTATAACATACCTAGTTAAAAGTTCATTTTAATTGAAGAATGTTGTGTCATCTTTCACACTAAAACTACCAGGGTAATGATTGTGTACATTTCTGCTGTTAGTGCTACCACAATACAAAAAAAGAAGAACAACTTCTTGGGTAATAACACTAAGGTGATATTTAGAGCAAAGATAACGGAAGACATTCTTCATATTAAAAGAACTGCTTTTTCCTAGAGCAACACAAACATTCATTACTTTTGAACTGTTTCACAACTTCACTAAAATTAATCCATCCCACAAAGATATCCTTTCACCTCTAGAGCTGCCAAACTCTTGGAACATTTGATTGTTCTAAATATAAGCCAGAACATGCAGTTGTCATACCTTCACATCAGTGCCATCCGTAGGCATGAACTCCTCGTAAATGTAGGAGCCTGTTTTTCTCACGTTGCTTTCAGGGGAGTAAACACTGCTTCTGCTGCCAATCTGAAACAAATAGTTTTCTATTAAAAAGGCCACAAAGTACTTCTCCTTAAAAATACTTTTAGCTCCTTAAATATACTGTGCACTCTCTGGTAACTGATCTTTCTGTTTTTTCTTCCATAATTCAGTTATTTTCCGCCCCTCTGATCTATAGATACATTAAGCCATTCAGAGGGTTAGCTATAGAGATCTAACCATTTAGGAAAGCTCAGAAGTATTTAGTAATTTTCCTAAATGACGGAATTATTTCTATACCTTAACAGAGTACAACATTACTCTCTCTCTCTGTACTTCAGCATTAAGGGCACTGGAAGACATTTCATTAGTCTATTAATCATGCCATAAACTGCAACATGGTTTACTCCATTTACAGGATAAAATGAGAACCCAGCCACAAGATGTCCTACCTATAATGTAGAACTTCCTTTGGCCGATTTAAATATTGCCTTAAAATTAAAGGTGTGACATGTCTCAGACCCTGACCAACAATCAGTTGATTGTCAGCACTGGCCCAGAACACACTTGGGTCCTGAACTGAGCCCAGCACAGTTTGCAGCCTTGCCCTGCAGCCTCCTGTGGGATGTACATCTGGGTATTGAAATTTAAAAAATTTAGTATGGGGAGCTGAATGATACTGTCTGCCATTGGCACATTTGTAGCCTTGCATGCAGGAGTCTGGGCCAGTCCCCCCCACCCCCACTCAATCTCTCGATTGAGGAAAGGGACTGTCCTAGCTCCCCTTCTGATGTTCAGTGCAGTACAGCCCTGGGGACCAAGATAGGGCCACCCCCTGGCTCATCCCCAGGATTGGACTGGGAGAAGCCCCTAGACTCCAACTGGGACCCAGGACTGCCCCAAGTTCAATCCTGCATAAGGATGGGGTACAGGGCAGACCCTGTTCCAAAAACCGTACATGCAGCCCAGTTTGGCTGCATATGCAGCATTTAAAAGACTGGAGGCCACAATCCCAGCACCAGAGAGCCTCTTTCTGACCTCAGCTTCCTGGTGTCCCAGGTTTTTGAACACTGCATGCAGCCCATGTTAAGATTGGTCATGGCACAGTTCCATGAACACAGCCAACTGCTGCTCAATCCATGGGATTAGGCTGGAGCAGCCTCATTCCCAGTTTGGCCCCAACAGTGGCACGACTGCAATCTAAGGAATTTTGTAATTCCAAACAGTGTCCTGTCATGTGTTTGTGTCATGGCAGGCTGCATGATGTTTGGGATGGAGCACAAAATTCCTCAGATCCCAATTATTCCATTATTTTAACTCTGCCCGAGGCTTAACAGCACATGTTAGGCTGTACCATGTTCTATGTTTTATTCAAAGTTACATTACATTGAATTTCAGCCTAAATATATTAAATAAATAGTATAAAGGAAAGGCACAATGAACTAGCACCTGTTATTTCTGAGGAGCTATACTGCACAGGCAGTGTAGCTTTAGAAGAGCCCCATGTGGATGGGCTATATTTAGCAGGAATCATCATCTGTGAGGCAGGTTCATAATTGAGTTTTGATGGACCTACAGCTGCTGCTGCATGCTCAGAATGCAGTGTTGGAAAGCATACTTTTCCCATCTTCCATGACAAGGAAACTACAACTTTTCATTTTAGAAATGTACTCTGACAGATATTTTATTCAACCCAAGACCATGCAAAAATCTGTAGTTAAAGAGAAGGTTGCCACATTCTCAATTACCTGTAACTATTCTGGAAGCACTTGATGCCAAGTGTTCCAAAAGCAGTACTGATTGCCTGAATAACAGGTCTGGATTAAATTTTTTTTTGGCTTGTATTTTTAGTGCAGTTTTGGGTGATATGACCATGTTTTGTAAATACCAATACAGTTCATTTTAATAGGTCTTAAACATTTTAATTTGGGGTGATCTATTTTAAAGGAGAAGAAATGAAGGACTAATTAACTAAATTTCTGGAAGAAGATGGGCAGGGTTCACCTATCCAGCAGCCCAGTAATGAGAACACTCTTACTTTCTTCCTCCCCTCGCCCCCTCCTCCCAAGACATCAGAACTGAGATTCAAATCCTCTCTCTGCCTCAGGGATTGTGGACCTTGTCTATCACTTCTTAAGAGTCTCCTAACCTCCAATCAAAATCTAGTGCAGAACTGGAACTGGCTTTGAAACAAGGTTTGACACCTCTCAGAAGAAAAAAAAGAATTGGTAGATTATTACTACTCCGCCTTTCTCTGATTTGGTTCACTAAATATTTATGGAATACAGGCGAAGCGGTACAGTGTCAACAAGACACCTGTGCTTGGAGATTAAGAGTTCAAATCCCCTCAGGAAGAGGAAGGATTTGAACCTTCATCTCCCAATTTTGGATTAACTGCTCTAATTACTGGGCTAGCTGGAAAAAAGAAAACCACCACTGCCACCACCACAGGTTCTCTTCTCTAGCTCTTCATTTCTTTGGCTTTGGTTACAGATCCCCAACATAAAATTTTCCTTCCTGAATTATATACATGTTATATATATACAAACGGAGGGCAGTGTGGCATCTCATCCAGAGAAACTATAGACTAGCAAGTCTAGAGTCTATAATAGGGTGCTCAATCTCCAGCTGGGGGCCAAATGAGGCCTGTGGAGCCTTGGAATCTGGCCTGTGGGACTCTTCAAGACTTAGAAAATTTGGTGGCAGGGGAGGAGTGGCCATTAATACAACCACTTTCCAGCCCTGCACGCCTGGTGAGAGTCATACCTCCTTCCCTCCATGTGCCTGGGCCATGCCTCTCCCCCGTGCTACCATCTGCTTAGCTTCAAACAAACACAACCCCAAGGGTGTGCATGGGCATGTACCTCTCTGTTCAAACAATGAGCTAAACTTTGTGAAAGTTTTTGGATTTCAGACTTGAGCCCTTTTTACTTCTCATGCAGCCCCATGTAATAGAATCAATAAGCAGAGTCTATGATCTACATATTCCCCTGTATTAGAATACTGCTGAGGTAATGTGAGAAGACCCTCCCACAGACGGAGCGTTTTTTGGCCCAAACCTGAAACCAGCAAGGTAAAGCACCAGCAGGGCTGATCCACATGTTGGTGCAGGGTCCTTAAGCGGATTCTTACAACAGAGCTCTGCTCTATGCGAGGCAAAACTAAAAGAGCTGCAATGCACTAGCTGCTGTGTAAGTGCACCAGCAAAGCTCCTTCAGGCCATGGAGCTCTGTCAGGCCCTTACAACAAAGTTACAACAGTGATTACTTTCAAAGTATAAAAGCCATAATTCTGCTATAGAATCTGGCTTTATATTTTCAGCTTGGAAAGCTCTGATGGAAAGCTACACAAGTTACTTTTGTGTTTGGTCTCTTATATCACTAAAAACAGACACAAGATTTGAGTCATTCGGTGTGATGGGACATCTGTAATTTCTTTCAGCATGGCAATATTCTCACCTTCCGAAAGAGCCTCTGGCTACCCCCTCCAGCAGATGTTGGATAATAAATGTAAACGTTGTGGTCCTCGGCACTAACTGGCTTTTCTACAAATGGCTTTTGGAATACTTCCCCATTCACTTCCACATGGTCTTCTCCCTCAATCAAATTGCATTCTGTTGGGAAAAACAGTACATACAATAATGGATTATTATACAGAGATGGTCCACTACAGACACCATAACTATTTACTTTCCATAAATGAATTCACAAATATCTTTAGACCTAAGAGGAAGGAATTAGGATTTGGCACTAGAACAGCTCCACGCTTGCTTCTTCTTGAAGCTGGGGATGGACCTCAGCTCTTCCTCCTTTCCCTAGATTTGCTCCCAGTTTATTGACCAGACTCCTTTGAAACTCACCTCACAGGAAAGGGAGATGAGTCAATGAAGGGCATGAAGCCCAAAGGTGCTATTTCAGTGTGCTATTCTAGTTTAACAGT